AAGGAGTTCTTTGAGTTCATGCCTGTTCTTCTCGTTTGTGATGCTGTCTAACTTATGATCTTCCATTGTTATTTCTTCGCTCTCTTCGTCTTTTTCTGCTTGTAACATGAAATTGTGTGAAAGATTTGTCTCTGATGCAGTTTCTGCCAAAAATGCCATTGTGGTTCCGGCGTAAATAGCTACTGGGTTCCTTGTGTTTGATTGTACTTTTAAAATGAGGCTACCTTCATTGGTGTGAATGTGCGTTTTTAGTTCAAGATGATTTTTTGCTAACCAGTCTAAATTATATTTGCATGTATACGTAGTATTATCTTTAATCTCACCATTTTTGCCCATAATATCTAATTCCAATGTTTTTAACTCATTCTGAGATACCATATAATCTTTCTTTGTACCCAATTTATATGTCTTTTTCTTGGTTTCTGTACCGATTTGCATCAGATGCCTAATTTCTTCTTCCTGCTTTTCTTCTTTAGCTTTATCCCCAGGGTTTTCCCTATAAATGTGAATTTGGACCCCTGCACCTTCAAATAGAAAATATATCATCTGTTTAAATCTTGTCCATTCTTTTTCTAATCCCCATCCTTGTCTTGGAATGACTAATTTTTTGATGGATTTATTTTTTGAGATATTGTTCCTCAGTGCTGTGAGACATTTATACATATTTCTTGGACTTGGCTTCTTCTTCATTGATTCTCTTGTAAATAGGAAAACGAGTGATTTTTTTCCTTGTTTTGACATAAATAGCTCCCCAATGGTTCCTTTCTCTCTCTTTTTTGGAATCATATGCCTATATTTTCTGAAAACTGATTTTTTTGATTTGTAGTTTTGGGTTACTCCTACTACTAAAACGGCATCGTTCGTTAGGACGTCTATGTTTCCATATTCTTCTTTCAGGAGACCGTTAACCTGGTCATTTTTTATGTGAATGTGCTCTCTTACAAACTTGTTAAACTCTTGTTCATCTCTTGAAGTATCTAGTTTAAGCTCTCTCGTTTTAGTTGGCTGTTTTGTTGTGACCAGACCTGACATGTTGATTTTTTCATTATTCATTTGTCTTAGAGGTATTTCATACTGACCATTCAGAATCAGTTTTTTCCTTGGGAGATCTATGATCGCATTATTTTTTGTCAAAAACTCCATGCCTAGGATGACTGGTTGAGTTAATGATGAAATCACGTTGGCGTTTAGTCTGCCCTTCCATTTCTGACTCCCTGGTATTTCTATTGGAACATCAATGTCTCCCAAAACTTTTATCTGGTGTCCTCCTGCAGTGACTAGAACCGTGTCATCATTTCTTGTTAGTTCCTCTTTGATTAGACTTCTTTGTAGAACGCTATCTTGTGCTCCTGTATCCACGATTGCTGATATGTACTTATTATTTAATCTAATTGTGATGTGCAAGATACCTATGTTATTGTTCTTCCCCATGGTAAGGATGGCAGGGGCTTTTAATTTTGCCATCCCTTCTCGTTTGGGTTTTGTCGTCGGGCTGTACAGGTGTTTGCAAAGTGACCCTGTTTTCCACAAACAAAGCAACCTGGATTGTTTTTGTTGTTTCGTGGCGTATACGATTTGTACCTTTGAGGCTGACTTCTGCATACTGTTGCAGTATGTCCTGTTTTCCCACAGTTGTAACAAACGGTGGCAATTTTTGAGTTGGAGTTATGATTTCTCATCTTTTGGCTCCTACATACAGCTGCGAAGTGTCCTGTTTTCCCACAATTATAACACGTTTGGCTAGATATTGGTACTCTTGTGCTTGTGTGTTCTCCTTGCATTCGGATCCTGCAGGTGGCCATTACATGTCCTCTTTTTCCACAATAATGACATATGTTTAGTTCTGTGTCTGTGATTGTGTTTCTTTCCGTACAGCTGGTAATTTGGGTATCTTGCGTTGCACCTTTCTTCGGAGCTTTGTCTATCGTGTCTGCTATTTCTTTTAATTGTATAAGTGATGTTGGTGGCTTGTTCGGCGGGTTTGTTAACCAGTAGTAAGTGTAATGATTTGCCTCCGTCAATCCTTCGCTGAAAATCCTTACAAATTCTTGTATATCAAATGTATGTGTGTAATTGTGATATAACACTTGTAAATCGTACAAGTATTCCTTGACTGACTCATCTTGACCTTGTTTTCTGTTTTCGACTTTTTTCTTGAGTGCCCTTTGGTAATCTGTATCCTCAAATTCCTCTGAAAAATCTTTGACAATGTCTTTCCAGCTGTTGTTTTGATGGTCGCGCTTATATTCCTGAAACCACAGGTTTGCGGCTCCATCTAAATACGTTTCAAAATAAACAATTTTCAGCTTTTCGTCCCATCCATTTGCTATCGCTGATCTGTCATATGTTCTTAGGAACTCGATCGCGCTGGTTTTACATGGCTGGAAGGTCTGAGGGCTGATAAACTGAGGCAACTTCGCCTTTTTCTCCGCTGTTATAGCATCAGTTATTGTGGTGTTCGCCATTATATCCGGTTGATCTACTTCCTCTTTTGATGGTTGCCTGGGTTTTGGTGCTTCTTGAAGGGTAAGGTCTGGTGGGCTACCAAAAACACTGTCTTTTTCGTAGTCTGTTTGATTATTTGCTTGGTTTTCTATTTCACTTTCAATTTGTTCTAAACTGATACTGGTTGACCCTGGTGGGGATCTTTGAAGTGGCCTTCTTGACTGGGAAAATGAGTATTCAAATCCTGTGCTCCTATGAGACGGTCTGAATGTTTCTGTTGGTGTTGCAGCTGCTGCGTTCTTTGGCCTCAAATTATATTTGGTTTTGTCTGGCATCTATTCTTGCCACAATGGCGACGGTACCAACTATGTGTCACAGTTTTTTAAATCTACGAGTTTTCAAATCTACGTGTATCTTCTCCACCTTCGCCACGCTGTCGTGAATTTCTCTTGTCGACGTACCGCCTGGTGACGTGTTTGGGTGTTGGCTTGCTTCAAAGGCGCCTTACGGCGTCGGTTCTGGGCGTCGGGTTCGAGCCGGCGCCTCCACCAAATATGTCACAACTACCCGCTTTACGGGGGTGACATGGGGGGTTTGTAGCTTTGGGGGTAGATGGAGAGAAACTCGCTCAGGTTATATAAAAATATATGCTATATATTTTCCCAAATATAACCTTACATGTATGCTAATCCTATAAGGTACATGACCCTTCGTACACTGGGGTCCTTATAGGGGGCCACACGTCAATTCTGCTTGGGGGACTGTAGATAAGTTTATCGTCACCCTTATGCCTTGTCCAGAGGGGCGTTCCCAACGAGAGGTAATTGCACTGGACAACGATAAGGCTGAAGATACCCAGAGGGGCGTTCCCAACGAGAGGTACTTGCACTGGGGAGACTTAATTCCAGAGGGGCTTTTCCAACGAGAGGTACTTGCACTGGTTTAAGTCTGCCTTTGCTGCGGCTTGCAGCGCAATTTATATTAATTTATTGCTGAATTGCAATAAATATTCGATCGAATCGGCAATTAAATTAATAAGGTTGAATACCGGGTCCTCCTTTCCCAAGCAGCTAGTTGACAATAGGGTGAAGTTTTTTAAAGATGTACATAGTTATAACACCAGAAATTGTAATGACTTTGTATTGTTAGATAAGTGTTGCACCACCCAAATGCTCAACTCGGTTCTATATAGAGGTTTACATGATTTCAATATGTTACCCAACAATATAAAAGACTGTGATAACCTGAAAATGTTCAAAAAATTAGTGAGAGATCATGTATTGTGAGATTTGTTTTATATCGTTTATATTGTCGTTTTATTTTATTTTTTATACTTATTTATTTATTTATTTTACAACTATGTGTATTTATTGTTTGAATGTTTTTTATTGAATCCTTTTTAATGTGTTAATTTATTATTATTATTATTATTAAGATGAGTTTTTCTTAATTTTACCCGAAAAAGTCATTTTATCAGAATTTTTCCTGGAGCGATTTTCCATTGGAACTCACTTTTCTCTTTCTTCTGGAATAATTTCACTATTTCCCCTTTGCTAGATTTATGAAAAAAAAATATATATATAAGAGGGTGAATTCTTCTTAATTTTGCTTAAATAAGTCAATTTTCTAGAACATATTCGAGATTTCAGTCTTGAAAAAAAACAAAGAATCAGCCTTTGCCGTTTGTACATGATATTTAAAAACACCCTGTATAATACGCCGTTAATTAATTTATATATTTGGGACTGCAATGATTTTTTAAGGGCCGGTATTTCAATGTCATCTTAAGATATAGAATAAATATAGACATTGACAATATTGTCTGACCTTGTTCGATGACGTCATCCTAAATATAACATAAGAACCCTATATTTTAGGCTAAGTCTTGATTTTAAGATAATATTGTAATACCGGCCCCGATTGAAAAATTTTATTCTATAACAATAATAATTGTGAACGATCTCTGTGAATTAATCATCGACAAATACTTTTTTTCTAAATTATGACGTCATCGATGACGTAAGTAAGTACAAAAAGTGCAAGAAAAATAAATAATTTGGTTGCACTAATTTTTTATATTATTGTTAGGTAGTGCCACTGTAGGTAGTACTATGGTGGGATGCCGAATGGGAGTGCTCATTTTTGTTTTAGGAGTGCTTAGCACCCTCAAGCACCCCCCTAGTTGCGCCTATGACCATTTCATCCCAAAATATATAGCAAACTGGATACTTTTATTATTTCTATAATATATAAATTTTTATACAATCTTGCATGTTATGGAAATTATTCAAATATGAGAATATTTTGCTCCAGTTTCAGTTTGTGCTTCGTCGATCAGTTTCATACTGACAGCAATATTTTATAGGTATTCTTCTTAGCCATATGATAAAAAATTATTCCTATAGACGAAAGCTTTTGCAATAAAACTAATTTTTATCGGCAATCGTTAAAACTGATCACAGGGTTTCAATTTCGCGCTAGGCTAGAGTTATGATCTTGTTAAAAGGCTTTTATGGGCCAATTAATTTACTGGGTTTAGAGTTAGACTCACTTAGATGGTAAAAAAAAAAATTAGCGCTCTATGCGGGAACTATTGAGGATAAAAATCAAAGCTAAATAATCATTGGAGAGATTTTAAACTTACGACAGCAAATTATCATTGGTTATAAATTGATGAATCTGCTTAATGAGAGCTGGGAATAATAATCCGTAACTGATTGCATTTATTTATTCGGTAATACATAACGTCAGCTATTTCAATTGATTTTATGTTCATTTTTTATTGTTAATTAATTATTTACTCAATTTTTGGAAGTTGAATGTGCAAGTTTTACAGATATCCATCACTCTAATCATTTTATGGGACAAAATAGAAAATTTATTCTTTTGTATAAATCCTCTTATTCCTAAAATAGAAGCACGCCACCTCCTGGTATCACGACAACTGGGGATAGACATATTTCATGATAAATTGACTTCTCCTTAACATAAATATCGAATTCGTACTCGTTACCACATAAAAATGTATAGAATAAGTATCCGATTCTTAAATTGACCTTTTTTTTTTTCAGAAAACATTTCACAATATTTGCTCTAGAAATACCCGGAACCGTAACTACCTTGCAGCACCTGTAAGACGCACCATTAAAAAGTACCCGGAGAATTTTTTAGGGGAAGCTATGCATCTAGCCCAAACGGCCGATGCGAGAACTTCCTCTAATTCCCATCGTTGGAGCAAACCCTCGTCGAAACTCACTCCTCAAACTAGCCAAACTAGTTTTTCTTCTTCGAAAATTGAAACCTCCCAGGCTCTGCTTCAAAAGGAACCGTGCATTAAGGTTACGACGGTACGTATAGAGGAACCTCCAACTTGTTCCTCTTTGAAGACTAAATTTTTGAAGTTTTTCAAATCTGGGTTGAATTCAAGTCATACGGCAGGGGGTCATAGTAAATTGAATAAAGATAATACTATAAGTAATTCTAGCTTGAGGGATACCGATGAAATGGATTTTGTATGCGCTGATTTGGTCAAACAAATGAAACAAGTTAATGACGTACTTTAAGCATATTGTGTGTAAGATCTTATGTCAAAAGAATCTCAAAGTAGGCGGCAATGACATAAAATAAAAGTCCGAATTTATGTACGTAAATGTGAATTAATTAAGACCATGTGTGTATAATAGAAATTCGCTTTTAGTTCTCATTTTGCTTGGTCAAGATTGTTCATTGTTCTTTATTTTATACCAGAGAATTATTTAGCGTAAAACTTCTATCGCTTGTTTGAGAACATTTTGTATCACTACCGCTACATGACAGTGTATTTATGTTCTCAATTATTGAGCTCAAAACTTTTCAGAGTAAAATTATATTTATGATGGCTGAATTGTCTAAAACAGACTTAAAACTTATTTTTTAATTTTTTTACCTACATAGAATCTTACTGTTAAAATCTTAAGCTACATGGCAAATAAAATATTTTATGTTATAAAAATAAAGGCTTGTGATATTTAGCATTTTATGTATATAGAATATAAGCTGTTACTTTACTGTAATATTGAAAGTGTGTGATTCTTTCCTCTTAACTTGATCTGAAGGTTGTTTTTAAATAGATACAAATTTGCATTTAAAACTCCCTAATCACTCTGCATCATTAAATTTGGCCTAAATTTTCTTATTGGGAAAGAATCAGCAGAAAAAACCGAGGGGTGGTTAACTCCGTAAAATATGTACACAAATTTCAAATCTTCATTAATTTTGTAGGATTTTGAAAATCTTCACATGATTTTACAGGATTTTAAAAGATTTTAGGTGATTTTAGAGCATTTTAGAGATCCTAAAGGATTTTTGGAGATTTTAACGGATTTTTGAGGATTCCAAAGGATTTTTGGAAATTTTGAAGGATTTTTTTTTAGGAAGTGATTTTTTAAGGGATTTTGTGAGGTTTTGTTCAATTTCAAGTTTTTCTGGACTTATTTATACACAGATTTTGACCAATCAACCGCTCCGAGGTTTAGTTAACTCTATAAAATAATGAACACATATTTTAAATCTTAATTGATTTTGTAGGATTTTGGGAATTTTGAAAATCGTTACACGATTTTACAGGAGTTCAGAAGATTTTAGATTTTCAAAATTTTAGGTGATTCTGGGGCATTTCAGCGGTTTTTAAAAAGTTTTTAGAGATTCTAAATTCAAATGACAAATTTGAATGGAAAAACGGAAATTCCTAGACATTTTACTATAGGATTTCATAATACTTTGCCGAATTTCCTCATATGATTCTATGGAATTCCACCATAAAATTCAATGGGAATTCTGCGAGAATTTTTGTTAATTCCATAAAAATTCCTAAAAATTTCACTAGAAGATTTTATGGAATTCCTCGAAATTCCATTCAAATGACAAATTTGAATAGAAAAACAGAAGTCCTAGAAATTTTACTACAAAATTTCATAATACTTTTCCAAATTTCATCATGAGATTCCATGGAATTCCACCATAAAATTCAATGGAATTCTTGTACAAAAATTACTCGGAATTACAATAAAATATTTCATGAAATTTCTTTTTTTTTATTTAATTCGACAGAAATTACTCAGAATTCCACTAAAATTTAATTCAATTCTTTGAAATTCTGCCAAAATTTCTCGTGGTTCCATGGAAATTCCACGGAAATTCTGTTTAATTTGAAGGGAATTCTTCGGATTCCATGTAATTTTACTGGAATTTCACAATAAGATTTCAAGGAATTCCATGTATGTAATTCGACGAGAATTCCTTGGAACTTTACTCGACATTTCATCGAAATTTTATGTAAGTGGACACAACGGGAAATTATATATAATTTGATAAAAATTCTGCCAATATTTCATATTTTTTTTTTTTTTTTTTTTCGAAATCCCACTGAAATTCCCCAAAAATTCTATAGAAATTCCAAATTCCCCAAAACTTCACCACTATATTTCAGGACTTCTACAAAATTTTCATAAAATTTTTCGGAATTTTACTGACATTTCTTGTAATTTCTTAGAAATTCCTCGAAATTTCACTAAAATTTTATGAGAATTTTTTTAATTTCTCGAAATTTCATTTAATCCGAGAGGAACTAAAATTTAATGTGAATATGGAAACTCCGCAAAAATTTCACATGTCACATTTCACACCATAAAATTCAATTGAATTCTTGGAATTTTTTATTCTTCGGAATTAGAATATAAGATTTAATGAAATTCTTCGGAATTTCACTAAAATTTCAAGTTATTCCATGGGAATTCTGCGAAAATTTTAATCAATTCTATAGAAATTCCTTAGAATTTCACCAGAAGATTTTATGGAATTCCTCGAAATTCCATTCAAGTGATAATTTTGAATGAAAAAACGTAAATTCCTAGAAATTTTACTATAAGATTTCATAATACTTTTCCGAATTTCATCATAAGATTCTATGGAATTCCACCATGAAAATTTCCTCGGAATTACACTATGAGATTTCATGAAATTCTTCGGAATTTCATTAAAACTTCAAGTCATTCCATGGGAATTCCGTGAAAATTTTAGTTAATTTTATAGAAATTCCTTAGAATTTCACCGATTTTATGGAATTCGAAATTCAATTCAAATGGTAAGTTTGAATGGAAAAATGGAAATTCCTGAAAATTTTACTACTCGTTTTACTATAAGATTTCATAATATTTTTCCATATTTTACCAAGATTTCATGGAATTCCACAATAAAATTCAATGGAATTCTTGAACAAAAATTCCTCGGAATTACACTATGAAATTTTTTGGAATTCCACTAAAATTTCAAGTTATTCCATAGGAATTCCGCGAAAATTTTAAGTAATTCCATATTAGAAATTCCTTAATATTTCACCAGAAAATTTTCTGGAATTCTTAAGACAAAATTTTTCCGGAATTACATTATAGGATTTCATAAAATTCCTGGGAATTCCACTAAAATTTCAAAATTCCATAATTATTTTTTTTTACTTTACTGAAATTCCCCATCATTGAAATATCCTGGAATTCCACAAAATTTTCATAAAATTCTTCGGGATTTCATTAACATTTCATGTAATTTCTTAAAAATTCCTCGGAATTCACTAAAATTTTATGAGAATATTTTGAAATTCCACGTTCATAGCCAAAGATTTCTCGAAAGTCCAATGAAACTTCAAGGAATTTTTCAAAATTTCACTGAAATTCTCTTTTAATAGCCAGGAATTTGTGAACTCCGCAAAAATTTCACATGTAATTCCTTTTTCAGAATAACATAATTCTACCGAAAATCCTCGAAATTCCACTAAATTATGGAATTCTGAGAGACTTTAACAGATTTTTGGGGATTCCAAAGGATTTTTGGGAATTCCAGAGATTATTTCATTCATTATAAAATAGACCCATCAGACAACGTCATTTTTTGAATGAATTTTGTTTAAATAAGTGATTATTTCACAAGACCTTGCGATTAAATTTTTGTTTACCTTTTTTGACAGAATTTTGATAGAAATATTCTGACATTTTATAATAAATAGACCACTCGACCTATAAATTTAAATGGATTAAACTATATCCAAATATTTTTTGCATAATTTTGCTTTTTGGCAAATAGTTTCATGCACAATAACTTTTATTAAGTTATTGTGCATTCAACTATTTTCCAAGCAAAATCATGCTCAAAATATGTTGGATAGTTTAATCGATTAAATTTAAAGTTCTTGTGATATAATATATGAAAATATTTCTTAGGAATGTTAATGATTTTATCAGATTTTGCAAGATTTTTTTGGTTTTGATGAAATTTGATTAGATTTTGTAGGATTTTATGGAATTTCAAGAGATTTTGTTAAATTTTCAAGGATTTCAAAGATTTTTAGGGATTTTGAGTAGGTAGGTAGATCTTATGAGATTTTGACCAATTAACCACCCCTCGGAAAAAACCATTATGTATTAAAAAAATAAAATAATAATTAAGTGTAAATTAAGTGAAAATTTTCAAATTCTATCTGTACATATTATTTAAGGCTTAATGTCTGAAATTACTGTAAATATTGAATATTACAAATAAACTGTTTGGTGTTTTTGAGTTGTGTTTTATTCTTTCACTTATGCATTTAAGAATTACGACACCTTATAAATATACAATGTTCCTAGTTGAGGTGAGCCACTTTTCTTGGCCCTCGTTCTGAATTTTTTTAGGTTTTGGGATTGTCAAGTTCCCAGAATTGAATTTATACTATACCGACTATTATAGAGGCATAGATGGTTGACATCTCTTATAGAATATACCTGCTCAAAACTGAAAATAACATTTATGAGAATCCTAGATTATTTTGGTCACACCTCAACAATCTCAGAAACAACTTTGTTCTTCCCTGTAACACGAGTTATAATGGCTGTAGTGAAATTAAAAAACTTTGAAGCTTCACAGCTAAAAACTATTCAAGGTTCAATGAAATTATTTACCAGGGATTTAATTGGCCTCATTTCAAGCCTAACTACGTTAGGATCGGATTGAAATTAATAAAGTTGTGAGATATAATGTGGTTCAATGTCATTTTGCGAAAATCAAGCTTCCAAAAAATGACCTTAAAAGCCGTTTTATTGTTTTCTGAGAAAAGTGTTTGAACGATTGGATTGAAACTTTGTAAATGGATGAAGAAAAGATTGAAATTTGAGAAAAAAAATTAAAATATCCTTCCACGCGCTTACCATGATAAAAATCAAATTCAATGTTGTGAAACTCTTGAAGCTGCATAAAAACTATTTATTGTATTTGGAGAGGTTTTAATTGGCCTTAATTCAGGCCTAGTTACGTTAAGATCGGATTGAAATTGACAACAAAATGTGTCATTTTGGAAAAAAAAATCAGGCTTCCAAGAAATGACATTGAGGGATGTTCACAGGCTTTTATATTTTTAGAGACTTGTTCTTATGAATACTATTCTTCTAGTTATTGTGGAGTATAAAACAAACTAAATTAGAAAAATCACACAATATAATGATTTTCAAAAAATTAAGTACTAATTAATTAAACCTAATTCAATGACTAGATTACTGTTTGCGACTAGAGTAATAATTTGAAATACTTAACACTAATTTTGATTTTTTTGCCAATTTTTATCAGTGGATTCTTTGAAGTTTGAATCAAATTCATAAAACTAAACTTACTTAGGTACTATACAATGTGATTTATGTAGCCTGTGCAAGAAAAAGCATCTGCAAGTTAATGTCCAGGATACGCAATTCACTTATGTCTAATTTTGATTTTTTGCCACACATTATTTCTATCAGGAGCAATTCTCTATTATTACACACACAGATATATTTTCTAATATTGACTTATTTTAATCAGGAACAATTCTTCATTGTGGTACAAGTGAATTCTTCAAAATCTTAATCCTCTTCTGACTAGAAAAATTCCAAACCTAATTCTAATTTTGATTATTTGCCATTTTCATATTCACACTTATTTTTTCACATGAGTAAGTAAGTGTCTTTTTAGTGCATTAGATTCACCAAACTTCTTACGACAAATCATACATTGGTGATGTTTTTCACCTGAAACAATACCCCAGTTTTTACAAACTAAAAATGCAATACTTACACAAATTTTACCAGTATGAGTTCTGAGATGGACGCTCAACTGACTACTGTTCCTGTAGCTTTTACTGCAATTGGCATATTTACAATGATAAGGCTTTTCATTGCTGTGGCTTCTCATGTGTACTTTCAGGTCGTAGCCAGTTCTACATTTTTGATCACATATTGAACATGAATGCCTTTTTTCACCTGTGTGAACGCGAGTATGGATATTTAAGGCTGCTTTACTTGAAAACCTCTAAAAACTTATCAGTAATGAATAATTCATATTATTATTTGGAATAATTTACCTTGTCACAAATATTACAAATGTATGGTCTCTCTTTGGTATGAATCCTGCTGTGAATTTTCAATTCTCCAGAAGTGTTAAAAGCTTTGCCACAAATTTCGCAAACAAATTGCTTTTCTCCTGTATGAATCCTTTCGTGCGTTTTCAAACTAAATAAATGTAGAAATTTCTTATGACAAATTGAACACTCATTGTTTTTATCACCTGGAACAAGGCACTGTTTTGAGATATTGCCAGCATGTTTTGTTCTGGAAACTTACCACTATGTATCTTTTCGTGCTTCCGTAAATTACGACCATCGAGAAATGTTTTACCACATACGCTACAAGTAAAAGGCCGTTCTCCTGTATGTAATCTTAGATGAACCTACAGACAAAATGAGTTTGCTTTATTTATTTATTATGGTATTTATTTACCTCAAGTTCAAAATTTGACCTATATTTCTTATTGCAAACAGAGCAGTTATATGGACCCATACTTTTTCTTCCTTTGACTTTTGCATTTTTCTTTTTGGCCAATTTTTCAACTTGTACTTCTTCAATTGGTTGTTCTGTATTATCAAAAATCTCAGTATTATCAATTTCAAGTGGATTATCTTCAAGCTTTATTTCGTCTTGGCTGTTTGGTATTTCGACACTTTGAAATCCTCTCGCTTGAAGAAAATTTAGTAAAATGTTTTGCGACAAAGTGATTTGGTTTAAAAATTTATAGGCGATTTGCAAGAAGGAATGGCATCCAGAACATATAAGGCTTGGTAAAATTTCCTCGTTTTTGATCTGGAAAAGCAAAAATCACATCATAGTGTACAAAACTTGAAAGTTTATGGTTAGAATAAGGTTTGGCAAACAATTTTCTCTGCTCTTTGGTTTTTGGATGGATATTTCCATGTAAATTAACACAAATATCCACAGAAAAATCCTACCAAAATATTGTACAAGAGGAAAATGCAAAATCGTTTTTCAAACATACTCCTTTTACAGAGAGAAAATTAATATAAAATTCTGAAACCCATAGCGAATACGCTTGAAGCGCTGGAATGTTCTAAAAGCTATCAGAAATTACCCGAATATTCATAAAAAGTGCTTTTTCTACTGACGTTTCATAATAGCAACTTTTCGATTGTCATTTCAGTTTTGAAACGACATTCTTTTAGGCACTGAGTGCGTGAAAGTTACTTTTAGGCACTCAGTGCGTAAAAGTGACTTTTGAATGCGTAAAAGTGACTTATGAGTGCGTAAAAGTAATTTTTAAGCACTAGTGCCTAAAAGTATCATTCATTATTCAGAAATAAAAAACACACTGAACACATATTTGAATTTTGTTTTGTATTTATTATGAATATTGAAAATGGAATTACTGAATTGAACGTTTGGGTTACTCGACGTGTTGTCCAACTCGGCTTTGCCTCGTTGGACAATTTTCACGTCGCGTGCCTAAAAGACGCTCATTTCGTAACTTATTGTATAAATAGCTATTTTGATATTTCTAATTGAAATTCTGACATCTGAATGTATTTTAGAATGTTCTAATATGTTCATGAAAGTTTTAAATTAGTTCTAAATTGTCATGTGATGATTGTTAAGTTATTCCAAAAGTTTCCAGTTCTAGACTGTTTCCAAAAGTGACATATGATTTGTATAGAATAGAATAGAATAGAATTTTTATTTCCAAAATGTACAACATAGTATACAAAAAAAAAGCTTGCAAAAGCTATATGGAAAAAAATTTAAATCTAATTTTTATCATATAATAAAAATTATTAAATTGAGTTTGGCTTTACATAAAGTAAGCAACAAGTTTACAGTAGGTACAGAGAAATGTAAAATACAAGTCAAATTGACAACACACAAACACTTTAAAAAAAAATCTAACAATAAGGAAATATACAGTAGGTAGTCAGTAATAAATATAAACATTTTGGCAGTAAGTAAAATAATCATTTCTAAACTAAAATGGTTAGGGGTTCGTTAATGCAAAATTTAGAATGTATGGTTAAAAAATTCGTCTATATTATAAAAAGTGTGAGTATGTAGCAGATCTTTAAGCTTATTTTTGTAAATATTTTCATTAGGACTGTTAAGCAACTCACGCGGTAAGTTGTTTAAAATTTTTATGCCCATGTAACTGGGACATAAGTTTGGCGGCAGAAAAGCATCATTACCTCTTGTGGAGTAGGTGTGAATGTCCGAGTGCATTGTCAAGTTTTCCCTTTCATTAAACATTAAAATTGCAGTCCTGTAGATGTAAAGGTTTGTCAAAGTGAAAATTTTGTTATCTTTAAAATAGGGTCTACAAGATTGCAACCTTCCAAGAGAAAACATGGCACGAATGGCTGGTTTTTGGAGAAGAAAGGTGTCTTTTGCCCCAACAGAAATGCCCCAGAATTCCACTCCATATTGTAAAAGGCTGTAAAAATATGCATAGTAGACACTCATTGCTACTTCCCTGCCAATATTCTGTTTTGCAGTTCTAATAGTGTAGATTGCACTACTCAAAGATTTGTTCAGTGAGGAGGTATGGTTTTTCCAGTTCAGTGCGTTATCCATGTATACTCCAAGAAATTTTAGGTGTTGTTGAGAAGTAACACTACCATTTTCAGTGGCAATGTTAAGTTCTCGAATCTTTTTGTTTGGTTGAAAAAGCATGTTGAATGATTTGTCAACATTGAGGACCAGCTTGTTTGCCGCGAACCAATCATTTATCTCATCTAGCAGCTGTCTACCTTCTGTTTGAAGATCGTTCAGGAGCTTTTTACGTAAAGTAATGCTGGTATCGTCAGCGAAAAGTGTAAATAAAGCGGATGGAAAGTTGATGTCAAGATCATTAACATATAATAAAAATAATAGTGGTCCTAATATAGATCCCTGGGGTACGCCACACGTAAGTGGCCTCAACGTTGACTGTATTTGTTCCAAATTATTATTGACATTTTGTTCGACTTCAACAAAAATTTGCCAGCCGTGGATGTAGGAAAAAAACCAGTTATTGGTAATGCCATAGAATTCCAATTTTTCAAGGAGTATATTATGGTGTAAAGTGTTCTGGTGTTAAAAAACCTTTCAAAAATGTTCTGGAAAGTTCAGAAGTGTTCTGATCTGTTTTAGAATGTTTCTGAAAACCTAATTTGATTCTAAAGTGTTCTGCAGCGTTTTTTAATGTTTTTGAAAGTTCCAATTTGTCTCATCCAAATGCAAGAGGATAAATTAAATTGAAAGTCTCCTGAAGTTTATCAAAATTCTAAATTGCTCTAGAGTGTTTCAAAATGCTTTAAAATGTTCCAAATTTGCACAAGCGCATTCTGAAGCGTTTCAAAATGCTTTCTAAAGTTTTCAAATGATTGCTTATTGCTCTTGAAGCATCGGAATGTTCTATCAGTTATCAGTAATTACCCATATATTCTTGAGTACTTTTTGATATTTCTAATAGAAATTCTGATGTCTAAACGTGTTTTAGATGTTCTCATATGTTCATGAAAATTTTAAGCTTGTTCTAAAGTGTCATGTTACGATTTTCAAGATATTCTAAAAGTTTCCAGTTCTAGATTATTTCCAAAAGTTCCAAATGTTTTGTAAAGTGTTCTAGAGTGTTCCATAACCTTTCTAAAATGTTGCCGAAAGTTCAGAAGTGTTTTGGTTTGTTCTAGAGTATTTCTGAAATTCTACTTTGATTCTTAAGTGTTCTGTAGCGTTTTACAATGTTCTTGAAAGTTCCAATTTATCTCAAACAAATGCAATAGGATTTAAAATTGAATTGAAAGTCTTCTGAAGCTTATCAAAATTGTAAATTGCTCTAGAGCGTCTCAGAATGCTTGAAAATGTTCCACATTGGCACAAGTGCATTTTGAAGCGTTTCAAAATGTTTTTTGAAGCGCTGAAACACAAATATGCACCAAAAACATCAAAAATCCAATTCTCTGTCCACTATAATACAATTTGCCAACCCTGTGGGAAGGAGTTGGGATATTAATTAAAAGCTGAGATTATTACTTACAAATAGATCCTTACAGCAATAGTTTAAAATATTCAAAATATCTTCTGCGAAAATTGAATAGTGAGCAGCGGTCGGTTCCAAAATATCAAAACAGAATCTGCACATATTTGTTCTGTTTTCCAGTAAATGAAATACATTATTTTCTGTGTTTTGTAGCTCTAACATTTTAGGTATTTCAACAGCCTAAATATGTATCTAATAAAAAAACTTATGAGTAATTGTTGGGTGTTATTTGTTGGTGAACATTTTTAGAGCACTAGACTCAGACTTAGAGCATTGAGTCTAGTCCTAGTCTGAGTCTGGCACTGATCTTTTTGTTTTGTGGTATTTTGATTATTTTGTAAAATAAAAATACAAACATAACCTAAGAAAATTCATATGCCAAGTGTCGAAGTGTCAGTGTTGAGTTGTCCCAAGGACGATACACACTACTACTACAGGGCCGAGTTCAGAAATAACGCACAGGGTGCGTGTGCGATTTTATGGGTGTGCCTGAATTGACAATTGGCTATTGGGCCCATAGCACCGTGTAGCATTTTTGAACAGCTAGGGCGTCGCACCGATGTCACACTCACACTGGGTGTGTCATTCCTGAACTCGCCCCAGGATAGCTTATCCTCATAAGGCCTGTTTGGAACAAATCTCCCCTGCCCCAAGCCAAATCACCACTTATGACGTTAACAGCATGTTATTTCTCGCTTCGATGTAGGTAGGCTGTTTAACAACTGACGACTCAGTTAATAGCTGCTTACGATCAAGCACTTTTCTTACCTAAGTTAAAGTTAGTTTCTTAGCTGAGCTAAGTTGTTTGATCGTACGCGCAATAGGGCAATCCAAACAAAATGGTGGTCAATGCATGGCCAATGCCAAAAAATTGGCGCCATAAATTTAATTCAAGCAATCGTGACATTTTTCATCAAAAAACTGTTTTTTGTGTATTTTGTGGTGCTTTTAGATGATTTTCTAGTGTTTGAGAGGATAATTTTCGTATTCTAGGATGGAAAGTTTTTAGTTTAAGAAATTATTAGTAGAAAAAAGGCATTGGCCTCCATTTTGAATGCCATTTTGACAAGTCGTTGGATTACCCTATTCATATAGGCTGATCAGCTGCCTATCAAGTTACGACTCACGTCACGTATTTCTAGTTCGGGTTCTAGTTACGACGAGAGTTTCAGGTTCAGTTTGCTGTTTTTATTAATTATTTCAATTGAAATTGAAACTGAATTGTTTTTGTACTACAGCACAGTTTATTTCACATTAAAAATGAACAATTATCTACCTAGAAGTGTCATGACGCGTGCAATGGCAATAATGAATAATAAATTTCATTAAACTAAACACCTTTTTAAAGTTCCTGTTCCAACGACCAACTTTCAACAAAATAAAAAATAAAGAAACAACCTCAATTTAGAAATCATGAAACGTCAAAATTCAAAAAATGCGTACTTCGCGCCAACTTAAGGCTCATCCTCAATCAATTTGCTAGCGTAGTGGCACTTCGGCACGCAAGCTAGGAAAATGTTGTTTAACGTTGGCATCCTCAATTCAATTCCGTGCTGGCATGCACGTCGACTCTGAAAGTGAAGGTTGCAAGCTGCCAGCTTTTTCGATGCGTGCCGACTTATGTCATGCGCAGTACAGTAAAAAATAATTTAGGTTATCCTTCCGTTCGGTATTTTGCTCTAAGAGCAGAGCGGAGCCGTAATCACGTGAACAGCGAGCGCACAGAGCAGTTAAACGCTGTATCAGAGGGCTCGAAATTTTATTAAATAAACGTGAATAAGTCTGCCCGAGTACACTTTTTGAATAAACGAACGGTAAGTTCATGCTCAGAGAACTCAGATCAAAATACCGAATGCACGGTATGTGACCGTACTACACGCACAGCAGACTGAAAATTGACAGCATTGAGGATGGGTATAAATTTTCCAGCACGGGTGCCAAAGTGCCACTTCGCTACCAGATTGATTGAGGATGTAGCTTTAGGTCAGCTAAGTTATCTCAGTTAAAAATCCGGGTGTCTTAGCAGGGGAAAGGGGGGAAGGCAGATTCTAACTTAGATGTGATAGATCGTACGCGCAACTAAGTTAGATTCTTTAAGTTAAGTAAGAAAAGTGCTTGATCGTAAGCAGCTAATGACGTCGACAATGGTGATTCACTAATATGGCGGCGATTACCAAAAACTAGAGTGCCTCCAAAAACGAGGTCGATGAGCAATATATAAGAGCTGGGTTCGGCTATTCAGCACGGAGTTGGAGTGGAGTGAGAACAGATTTTTGTCACGTGATTTCGGAGTGATTAGAGTGAAAAATCAATACTCGAACGTCTCGAACGGTCGGAGCAAAAATGTCAAACAGCTGATTTGTTTTGCTTCAAAACAACAGTCAACCGTGACAAATAACAGGCCTGTTCGTAGAGGAATCACAAACCAGTCAGAGTGAATTTCATTGGTTGAAACTAGTTTTCTGACTGTTTCTGACTGTTCTCAACCAATGAAATTCGCTCTGACTGGTTTGTGATTTCTCTACGAACAGACCTAACGTTCCAGTTACCATTTTTTTTTTTTTTTTTTTTTTTTTTTTTTTTTTTTTTCACTTTTCTCTTTAGTTCTTTTCACGTGGCTCCGGTTTAGCTAACCGGGTTACAAAACGGTTAGAGAAATGACATACCGTTTTCTAACCCGGTTACAAAGTGACGTGTGGATACCTACCACCCGAATTTGAGCGGTATGTTGCGGTTTGTTAAACCGGAGCCACGTGAAAAGGGTTTTTGGTCTTTCGTGTACTAAATTATTGTATTCCTTTTACCCGTTGAGTTACTCGGAGCTGCACAATGTCAAAAGCTTGAACGTTCCTTTCAAAAGTGCGTTAAGCACTCGAGTCGCTCATCCCCCTTTCCTCTGATGCATCAAAGTTGCGGTGGGTGCCAGAAGCCCTATTAGGTGATGACGGTAATGTTAATATTGAAAAATAATGATAAAATCTGAATTGTATATTTTGGGTGACTCCGAGGAGCTCGTCCGGTGTAACTCGATGTATAAAAGGAATACAGTAAATTAAACTCAATTTCTCCACAATAGTTGTACTCCTTTCACACCTAGTAGGAGCTCCGGAACAGCTCCGGGGCTTCACGCGCTTATTCCTTTTGAAAAGTGTTTGTTGCACGTTGCACCACGCATCTGTCCGGTGATTCTAAAATCACGATTCGACATACGACTCGACATCGAGACGATTATTCCGACGATTCTAGGTTAGAAATCTCATTGGAATTATACCTTTCGAGACGACAAGGCCGGTATCGTTGTCGAGTCGTGTGTCGAATCGTGATTTTAGAATCTCGGCCCTGTTCCCTGCAAATCGGGAGCGACTGAACACCGGAACGAGTAGCTCGAGTGTTTGAAACTCTTGAAAGGAATACAACTTATGCTTTTGCCTCTGTTTTACTTTGTCAAGGAAATTTTTCCATCATGTTTAATAAATTTTAAAATCAGATCAATTTTTTTCCTCGCATCCACACATAAACGATTTAATTTTTTTAACAACAACCACAACGTGACACAACAAGCTCGACAGTTTACACATTTCAGTTCTGCGTATGCCCACTCAAAAATTCTCTTTCCGAGGTGGAACTTTCGGAGTGAACTCCATTTACTCCACTCCGTATAGTCGAACGTTAATGGAGTCACCCCTAATACGCCAAAAACAATACCCGAACGGCTGGAGTGCGAATGGAGTTACTCGGAGTGCACGGAGTCAGCAAGCCGAACCCACCTAAGGTTCGGGTAAAACATGATGATTGAAACCATTTTATTGCTTTTTGGCGTATTAGGGGTGACTCCATTAGCGTTCGACTATACGGAGTGGAGTAAATAGAGTTCAATCCAAAAGTTCCACCTTGGAAAGAGAAGTGGAATGTGGAAACTGGAAACTGTCAAGCTTGTTGTGTTGTCACGTTGTGGTTGTTGGTTGTTGTTATAAAAATTAAAAATTGTTTAATATGTGGATGCGGGAATTGGTAAAATCGTCGAGTAAAATAATTGCTCCGATTTTAAAATTTATTAAACATGATAGAAAAATTTCCTTGACAAAGGAAATCAAAGGCAAAAGCATCATTTTATTCATTAGTAGTTGAATTGCTTTCACAGCTAGGAGGAGCTCCGGAATAGCTCCGGGGCTTCACGGGCTTATTCCTTTCGAAAAGTGTTTTATGCACCACACATCTGTTCCTTACAAAATCGGGGGCGACTAACACCGGAGCGAATAGCTCGAGTGTTTTAAACTCTTGAAAGGAATACAACTATTATGGAGGAATTGAAGTTAATTTATAGTACACGAGAGACCAAAGACAAAAGTGAAAAAAAAAATTTGGGTAACTTGAATGCTGTAAAGTCACGATTGATGGTTGTTTTGAAACAAAACAAATCACTGAAATAAGCTGTTTGACATTTTTGCCCCGACCGTTCAGGTCGTTCGGGTATTAATTTTTCACTCTAATCACTCCTAGATCACATGACAAAAATCTGTTCTTACTCCACTCCAACTCCGTACTGAATAGCCGAACCCAGCTATAGGCTGTTAATTTGTACTTGCTCTACCTGCTCGAAAAATCTGCTAGGAGCTGCTATTTATGAGCATTTATTTATATGGAACAAGTGAACGCCGATCTGCTGCTGAGATCTGCTTGAAGCAAGACAGTGCAAATGAACACCCTACCTAGTAGTGAGTTACAATGACCGTGCGTTCGGTATTTTGACCCGAGTTCTGGGAGGTTGAATTTACCGTTCGTTTATTTAAAAAGTGTGCTCGGTGCAGGCTCATTCGCGTTCGTTTATTAAAATTTCAAGCGCTCTGATACCAGCCTTCAACTGCTCTGTGCGCTCGTTGGTCACGCAATTACTGCTCCGCTACAGCACACTTTGCTCTTCAAGCAAAATACCGAACGCAAGTTGTGTATCACCCTTGGAGTGCGTTCGAAAAAGAGTTAAATTTTAAACAAACATTTAGGCCCAGTTTTTTGTGCATTTCATTTATCTGTTAAGACCTATTATGATCTTCCGAGAAACGGTAAATAATTAAATAAATCTGACTAATCCAAAAATATAATAAGTGGATTTAAATTATGAAAAACTGACAAGGATGACAGTGAAATTTACCTAGCGGCAGAGTTGGTTGAGAAAGAGTGCACACTAGGTAGCACCCCGGATATTTTCGAACTAGCGTGAAAGTCAACGGGAGTTTATACCAGTTCATTTTCGAACGGCTGGTGTGCACTCGGTGTGACGCGCAGACTGATCTCGAACGCATTCAAGGAGTTGACAGGACACATGTCAGGGGCACCTGATAGCGTTTTCCATTCGCTCTAGAACTTTTAGTGTTAGCAAAAACCTAAACCAGGGCAGTGTAAATATAATTAGAAAAAGCAATCTAAAATTTCAAGCTCATGCAAATTTTCATTTTTGTGAAACAGGGTAACGTGAAATATTCGAATAATTTATCAGCCCACTCTTAGAGCAAAAAAATGTACACTGGGTGCATGACTCGTGACTATTTGCACCGAAATTATTGGAAGGGTTAGTGCGCACCGAGTGTATTTGTGTCTTTTTCTACCATCTTGTATAAAAAAAGAGATAAAAATATATTTTTTTCTGCTCTGGTTCTACCAATAGAAATAGCTATTAGTGCAACATCATTTTGTCCTACTTGAATTAAAATTTTGGCCCAATAAAATTGAAAAATACATCTACCAATATGGTCAGTTGGAATCCAGTTTGATCGAGGATACACTTAATTGCATGAAAGTAATATACCTAAATTGCCGTGGAATATCGATCTATATAATCATATAGTGAATAAAATACAAAATGAACTTTTTGTCTTATTTATTAAATAAAAATAAAATATACTTATGATGTTTCTACTGCGCCAGCAGCAGATTCTTCAGTATATTTTCCTTTATCTTTGCCGAGAGCTGCCAAACGTCCCTTGGCCCTCCTGTCAATGATTTTCTTGCGGTCTTTGTCCATTTTCAATTTAACAATCACTACCTGAAAACAAAAAATCTTTTTTAAAATAAATCATCATTGAAAACAATTAATAACAAAAAGTAATTAATGAAAAATCAGTGCCATAACTTCACCACAATGAAGGCAAGACTAAGCCAGGGTGCCTGCATCAAACAGAAAACCTGAACGACCGGAACCCAGCTCTGTCTATATTCCTACAGTCTACGAATGGTTTAAATCATCATATTAATCATCTTATAAAAAAAATTGAAAAATAGGAATTATGTTACTTACTTTTGAAGGATGGATTCCAACGTAAACGCTGGCCCCATTGGCCTTTTCTCTCTGGATCCTTTCGATATAAATTACAAATTTCTTTCTGTAAACTTGGACTATTTTGCCCACTTGCTGACCCTTGTAGTGCCCTCTCAATACCTAAAAATATATCAATTTCGAATAATCTCTATAATAACGAGGTTTTTAGATTTAAAATTTGTTATAGAATTTAATCAGTGCCATAATCTCACCAAGATATAGGCCGTACCAAGCTAGATGCCTGCATTTCAAAGAAAACCTTTGAAACCGGAATCTTTTTTGGTAATGAACTCTATAGTCTACGAATGGTTTGAATCATCATGTTTTAAGATTTTTAGTTGAAATACAATAATTTTTAGGACTTACTTGGACTTCGTCGTCTTTGCGAATTGGCATGGACCTTACGTTGTACTTTTGCCTAAGTTCTTTAGACAGTGGGGCTGACATCAGGGTCCTCTTAATATGGGACGGGGCAGAAAAATGCCTCTTCCTGTTTTTGCTCCTCGAAGCGGTGACCAGTTTGTTGAATTTCATTTTGGGTGCTGCTCTTTAGCCCTTAAATTGAAAAAAATATCAAGATTGTTTTTTTTCACAAGAGGTTAGGTTTGATGTTTATACTAAGTATTTTCGAAATTGAGAAACTTTTCGGAAAAAAGATTGACGGGGGTCGATGGCTGTGACTTTTTAGAGGGTTGTTTTTGAGAAATAGAAACATTTCGTAGGAAATTGAGGCCGATGATCGAGGATTTTTGAAATAGAAAATTTACCTACCGACAACAGCAAATTAAACTTGACAAAAAGAAAGAAGTCGCGCACTTACGCATGCGTATGCATGTGACACATGGCACAATGTCGTTTCGTGACACCTGTCAGATATTCAAATTAAAGAAATCTGTAATTACTTATTAATAAATTATAATAATATGACTAGTTAATTAATTGAAATAGTACTTGGACATTAAATGAGAAATAATTAGGTTTTAATATTGGTTTTATAAACTAAAACTCTGGAGTGAACTATTTAAAATGGAAGTTATTTTGCGCGCTTAGCGTTTAGCATAATAGATGGCGCCATGCGAATTAATCTTTACTTTTCTACAGTAAGAAAGAGAGAGCATGATAATAGGAAGTATTTAAAAACAAACTTTCAAGTTGCGCTCTTTATTTTTGGATCTCAAAGTTGTGCCCAGTGAGTTTTAAATCATATTTTTGATTTTAATACATACCCTGATTTTAATTCTTTTTTCAGAAAATTATTTTTCGATCAATAATTTAAATCGTCCTGAAATAATTCAAAACTCCCAGTAAACAGATCTGTTACATTTACGTAAAGTTTCTATAAATTTGAGATAATTTTTTCAACAGCCTCAGATTATATTAGTTTCATGCTTAGAGCAGGTAAAGCGCTATCCTATACGGACATCAGGAGTAAGAATACCGCGCCATTCTGCTATGAAACTGAAGTGAAGCCAGTTTTTAGCCGGTGTTTGTACACCAAATGACGCCAAATGACAGGTAAAGCCAATTAAAGCATTGAATTAGCTATACCGCCATTATTTCGGATCTCAAAATACCAATGAAAATACTCACCTGGAATAAAACGGCTTCATTTTCCAACTCCATGTTCCTACTCCTCCCACATAGGAACTTACCTGCTCTAAGGTTTCATGTCAAATTTATGTAAATCTACTATGTAAACTAATAGGTTAATTTTGTGCCCATCATCTGTAAGAAAATCTATATAGCTTTCTTTAACCCTTCCAGGACGGCAGTATTTTCACTTGTTTTGGCGTGTGGACGGCAGTTTTTTGCATGCCGGATAGACGGGTGTCATATACAGGGTTAGTAAAAAGTACTGCAACACTTAAATATCTTCAAAACTGCTTAAGCCGCGTTCACACAATTCTCGTGTTTTTGTTATCTTGAATAGAATACCTCATTTATTTTTATTGCAATGAATTCGGCGTGCCAAATTTGATAAGACTCCAAATTTTCCGAATTCTATCTTTACTAGTCGTCCTTATGTGTTAGCATTCCAGTTTTTGATTATAGTTCATTGATCGCAACACTTAAATATCTTCAAACGCTGCTTAAGCACGTTCACGAAATTTGGTACCGTAAAGTTGGGTCACTTTGGTCCACTTTTGAACTTTACATTGTCATAACTTTTAAACCAAATGTTATAAATTTTTGTTCTTGGTCTTATTTTGTAGGTCTATATTAGTACTTTCAACTTTGAAATTGGCAAAAACCCGAAGGCTTTCTAAATCCATTTTTTTTTTTTAAATAGGGTGGCCAAAGTCAGACAACGAGGTTAGGTTACTTTGGCCACACATTAGGCAATTCAATCCATCTACGGTTTCCATAAAGGTTTTCCGGAATTCAGGACAAAGGAGTCAAGAAATCCGGACTTCGCCGAAATATTTATTGAGAGTGTGTAAAGTGAAAGGCGAATGTGACAAAATTCACATTTGTAAAAAAAGGTTCACTTCACACACGTATTGCATAATATACAAACAATTTTCTACTACCAATGAAATATGTGTAAAAAAATAACTTTAGACCAAGACTTTACGCATACGCACTAATGCGTAAAGTAATTTACTAGAAAAAAATTACAGTGTCGACATCTGTCATTGACCTTACTTCACGCACTATAGTTAGTAGGCAATTTTTCGCGAGGATAACATTGGAGGATAATCAAGCATAATCTGATTATCCTGGATTGTGTGATGTGTCAACTGTGTCATACTCCCCTAACTCCCTCTCCCTTCAATTCTGGGCCTGCGAGTGACGTCACTACCAGTAGTTTATAGTAATGACGTCACCTGAAGACCACGATGGAATGCTCGCGATTCAGGTGGTGCTAGTGAGTTAATTTTTTCGTCGATTTCAAATGTAGAAAGTTTTCAGTCTGTTCTCACAGAAGAAGTTAAGGGCCGGATTTATGGTCGCTGCTTGAGGTTTCCTCAGGCCTTAAGAAGGCTTTGAACGTTTAGAATTGAGATGACTAACTTGTCAAATAGTAGCAAGTGTCCATTCTAAACTCACGACCTTCAGGGAAGACCCAAGAAACGACTATAAATTCGGCCCTAAGTGTTCTTGATCCTCGAGTATCCCAGAATTTGATGATGGGTGAGTTAGGGGAGTATGACACAATTGACATATCACATAATCTAGCATACTCGAGTATGCTTGGTTATCCATCCTCGCGGAAAATTTCCTAGTGACCCTAGTGTGTAAAGTGACTTACTTCACGTACTAATGCGTGAAGTAAAATTTACGTCTTTTAGATAGTGCGTAAACTGAGTATGAGTGTTTCCACGATCTCTGAGTTTTCCGGACATTGTTCCGAATTCCGGCCGGACTTCCCCGGACACCCTAAAAACCCAAACATGTCCGGGTAAATCCGGACGTATGGAAACCCTAAATCCATCTGTCAAAAAGGAAAATTCAATGAGGCGTGGCGGCCAAGCAAGTTTGTTTTGAATATGTTTTTATGCGTATATTAAATTATTTTGCATACAGTTTTGCTCACAACTTTGATTTTCATTATTTAATAAAATATTTGTTGACTAGGTACCTAAACTATTAATTCGAGCAGAAACTAGATATTTTTTTGTGTTTTTTGGCCCATGTGTGGCGCCACGCCATCTTGAATGTCACGTGGTTTGAATTGCCTAATTGTTTTATTTAGAAAACGTAAAGACGCGCAAGGATATAGGTGACTTTGGCCATAGATATAATCGCCAAATAGGTTTGTGTTGTTTTTTTAGGCTTTTGAGCATATAAGCATAGCCATCTCTTCATAATATGTAAAAAAAACAAAATGTTTTTTAATGGTTTTAATTGAAAGAACATTCTTTGGTAAAAAAATAATAGGAACTAACTCTGTTGATAGGGTAAATTCCTGCTTTTTCAAATCCACTTCTTAAATTTTCCCTGCCTGGTTTTAATCAGGTGACGTAATCATATAACGTCATCTAAGTCGATCTAAGTGACGTAATCATATAACGTCACTTTGGATAGGGGTACAAAAACATCATTGTGAGGTTATGTGTGTGACGTCAGCTAGTGCCTAATTACCAACTAAATAGAACCGAATTTTCGTGACGAATGTAGTTCATCCAAGGACGAACCATAGTTCGTCTGTGACATCATGAATTTGAACGCTGGCTAGAAGCTGCGTCCATGCTTTTGTCGAACTATGTTCAATATGACGTCATGAGTTTCTCGCGAAAGTGTTTGTGTTCATGGAATCATGGAAGTAGTTCGTCGCGAAAATTCGGTTTATGTTAAACTTGTTGTGGCCAAAGTCAGACCAATAATAAAGATTTTCTATTGGGCGACTTTGGCCGCCCTCTAGCGGTACAACCTGCAATCCTAACTTTGCAGTGACCGCTCATAAACTTTCTTCAAGGTTGTACGAAGTCGCACTTTCATCTGAAAATCCTATATGTCGTCTAGTTATTCACCCATGAGTGAAGTTTTTGAAGGCAAAAATTGCTCGTTTTTTATTATTTTGTCCTATTATTTTTTTTCAGGAACTTAAAAACAAATTGTGTGCTGTAAATAATTTTTTTCCGTCCAATATGATCTATAGAAACATTAAAAAATCACATTTGGAAAATAATTATTATTATAACGTGCATGAATAAAACAAATATTGAAAAATGGCCAAAGTCAACCCTAATGGCTAAAGTCACCCAACTTTACGGTATGTGAGGGTTTTTGAGCAAGTGAAATTTAACCGTGATATCGGCATTGTTGCCAGATTTCCCAGTTTTGCCCTAAAAGTAGTCTTTTTGTTATCTTGAATTGAATGCCCCATTTATTTTTATAGCAATAAATTGGACGTGTCAAATTTGATAAGATTCCAAATTTTCAGAATTCTATCTCCACTAGTTGCTGAAATATGCCAACACCGCATTTTCAGTGAACGGTATCACAACGCTTGAATATCTTTAAAACCCGCTTAAGCTCGTCCACTAAATTCGGTATCTGGGGATTTGGGGCAAGCGAAATTCAACTGTGATATCGGCATTGTTGCCAAGTTTCCCAGTTTCCTGCTACACGTAGTCTTGCTCGTGGCTTATGTTTTTTTTTCTCAATAATACACGTTACTTGTTTATGAGGTATTCATATTTTCGGGCGTTTCCCATAAGTTTCTAGCTCCTCCTGAAATAGGTAGGCAACTATACCAGAATGATTCTCACTATAGTAGTATCTAACAGTACAAGCAGCATATTGAAAATTTGGAATCTCATTAAAATTTGGACCAATTCATTGCAATAAAAATAAATGAGGCATTTTATTCAAGATAACAAGAAGACTACGTAACGCGAAACTGGGAAACTTGGCAACAATGCCGATATCACAATTGAATTTCGCTTGTCCATAAATTCCACATACCTACTATAAATTCCCAGATACCGAATTTAGTGGACGAGCCTAAGCGGGTTTTAAAGATATTCAAGCGTTGCGATACCGTTCACTGAAAATGCGGTGTTAACATATTTCAGCAACTAGTAGAGATAGAATACTAAAAATTTGGAGTGTTATTAAATTTGGCACGTCCAATTTATTACAATAAAAATAAATGGGGCATTCTATTCCAGATAACAAAAAGACTACGTGTAACGCAAAACTGAAAAGTCTGGCAACAGTGCCGATATCACGGTTGAATTTTGTTTGCCCAAAAATCCCCAGATACCAAAATTTCGTGAACTTGTTTAAGCGGCGTTTGAAGATATTCAAGCGTTGCTATACTTTTTACCGAAAATACGGTGTTGTCATATTTCAGCAACCAGTAGAGATAGAATTCTGAAAGTTTGGAATCTTATCAAATTTGGCACGCCCAATTCAGTGCAATTTAATAATAAATGGGGCATTCTATTGAAGATAACAAAAAGACTACGTGTAGCGCAAAACTGGGAAATCTGGCAACATTGCCAATAGCACTGTTGAATTTCGCATGCCTGAAAACTGTCAGATTCCGAATTGTGTGAACGCGGCTTGAGCAGTTTTTAAGATATTTAAGTGTTGCAGTACTTTTTACTAACTCTGTATATCTGCCTGCATTATTTTGAGCAATGCATTAATATGGAGTGTCTCACGTTGATCCAATCCGCAATAACTATTATCGTAATCATTTTGCACTCTAACCCGCTTTTTTGAAGGGCCTGGCTGCTCCTCTGCCGACATTTTGAATGATACTAGCTATAAAGTCACGTAGGGTAGGTACTCACTGAACTTGCCACCCCGACGACTGTCGTATATTTCGGTCGTTCATGGCGTGGCATATGTGTGGCCGATTATCCGGTCAGTCGTCTGTGCGGCAAATTGATTATTCAAATTTTTCTGAAATATATGATATTAGTCCATGACGCATGAATAACTCGATGTCACATATATCGGGCAGCCGTCTGTGTGTCAAATTTGTATGTGGCAGATATATCGGTCAGCCGTAGCCGTACTGAAAGGGCTAAGCATATTAAGCAAATCCAAATCGTACTTTTTTGTCACAGTCTAGTCTATGGTCTAGTTTTGGCAGTTGACATCCTTTGGTTAGCCAAATTGTGACAGTAATCTGCCAAATAGTTAAATCGATGTTTTCACATCAATTCATTAAACAATGTCCCTGCCATTGAAATATTTAAAAGCCGAGAGACCGAAACAAGAACTAGATCTAGACCAAAAACTCGCGGATAAAGAAACCCAAACAATACCATGCGGTAAACCAAAAGTACCCGAAGGTTATCAGGATTTATTGCTAGAGTTTACCATAAATTGTAATCTCCATCATCCGAGAAACCTCGTCGATTATGCCGCTGAATATTTTGCCGCCTTGAAAGATCAAAAACATACCAAGATTGTCTACGATCTGGTTTGTACTGAGAAAGAAGAAAAAACAGACAGGGACAGTACTGCTTTTAGTGAAGCTACAACAGTCACGGATTCGGAATTTTCAAAAGATGAACATGAAAAAATAATACTTACATCAGCAGAATCAGATTCAGTACCTATACTCTTGAATTGATTTTCAATGTAATGGAAACTTAATTGAACACCTTTATATGATCCAATCTAAAATTAAACTATTTGTTTCTATTGTATACCTAAGCTACTCTTTGAAACTTGGAGAAAATATATAATTTCCGTTATTTTTTCCATTTATTTGGGATCAGATACTTTCAGTGAGGAAGATTTAGTATGACTACCTAAAATTTGAGAATGTACCTACATTTCAAGCATATGATTTGATTTGCTTTTTGTCTTACGTAAATCGACAATAACAAGATTGGCTTCTGCTACAGGAATTGCAGGGCATGATGACATATCACCAACAATTATGTTTTCCAGAAGTAAGTATATTCCATACATAAATCAAAAGATTGCAAATAGCTAAAGACCATCTTGCTAATCTGCCCGTAGGTGATTTGAGTGACATAAGCCATTTCAAGGGCTGATGATCACTTTTGAAGATAACATTAGCACATTCCAAATAGCCTCTAAATTTGACAGTCACGGACCAAATGACTGCTAGGGCTTCTCGCTCTGTTGTACTGTAATTGCTCTGCTGATATTAATAAACGACTGGCGTATTCTATATAGATCTTTTTTCTGACCCCTCCGCCTGGAGTAAACATGCGCCAATAGCATACCAGAGTCCGTCTTGGAGAATATATGGTTTATTAGGGTCAGCTTACTGAAGCAAAGGAATAGGTAGACGTTAAAAGCGATTTCAGATTTTCAAAAGCCTTGACTTGATCTGAGCCCCAAATCCATTTGACTTTCTTTTTAGTAGTAAGTGAGAGATTTTGAAATTTCTGCGAAGTTTTTTATAAAACATTGAAACCCGGAATAAGTTTTTAGAAAAGAAAGTACCTATAGTTCTTTGACATTTCGAGGATTTGGTATTTTAGAGATAGCAGAAAATTTATCTGGGGTTGGAGTAATACCAGAAGAAGTTATTACATGACCGAGGTAATTGACAGAACAAGAAAATTTGTATTTCGAACGGTTTAATTGAAATTTGAATAATTTTAAGCAATCAAAAACTTTTTGTAAATCACTAACATGAAGTTCAAATGAGTCTGATAAAATAATTATATCATCGAGGTACCTACGCTAATATGTTAATATCTTGAAGTCCAGAACGAAATCTATCAATTATTCTTTGAAATGTGGATGGAGCATTTCATAATCCAAATGGCATCTTTGTATATCTAAAAGTGGCAAAAGCACAAATTAAACCAGTTTTGTCTCGATCAGATGGTTTGACTGATACTGATACAAGAATATTTTTTTCATGATGTCCTGAGAACCTTATAGGTATATTCTAGGAATATCCTAATTGATTTCCCAGGAATGTCTGCAAACAGTAAGTAAATATTTCTATAATCTTTTCTTAGAACATTCTCAGAACATTCACAATAGTTTTGGGCGAACATTCTTCTTAAAAAAAGAACATTCCCATCCCATTACATTCTAAGGATGCAATTTTCTTATATAGCATTATACTTAAACTCATACCAAACAACAAAAAAGCAATTCTTCATGCAAAAAGTCTAATTTATTATTGCTTGACTTTATCCTAACCTAAAGTAAGTACATATAAATATTACATATCTATACAGTTATTAACGTTTAGGAACAAAGTTTTATAAAAATAAATAGGACGCGTGAATATCGTTTAGATTAATTAAATGGTGATAAAACAATTCTTAGCTAAAAATAGTAAAAACTATTAGTTATATTCTAAAATATTTAATTTATAAGTTACTAGTACAGTTAACTAGAATTGAAAATATCTAGGTATCGAGAATATGGACCTAAAATATAACGACAGATATTGCCTATAAGAACAATATTATTTCGTTAAATATCTATTTTAAGCATTTTAAGGAGAAATAATCTAAATGTGAAAACTATATTTCCAAGTCAATAATTTACTAGTTTTAGTTTTTTCCAAAAGCGTCTATAGTTTCCTAGATAAATATAATATAATGTTTTAAAATCCTATTAATACTTGTATATATACACGAAAATATAGACGAATTACATATTTACATTTAAATAAATAACAAATTCGTAACTTGTCCGTATTGTGCAATAGGTATGAGATATGTCTAAAAGATTCTATTATTGAAAACTAAAGTTGGGCAATATACCTACTATATTAAATTAAATTAATTTCACAGTTAGTATCTTAACTGATATTAATAGTCAATAGTCGATAGAGGTAATCTATGCTGGCAAGAAAGAACACCATGATCCAATATAAGTAGGTATAAGTATCAAAAAGGCAAGAATTTTTAATGATCTATGACGTTTTTTGTATGTATCTAAAATCTGAATATTTCATTCATTTTCTAATAATAACAGATAAAAATATAATACTAGATGCTTTAATACTTTCTAATCTATTTCTAATACAGTCTTTGTTTTGTATGATAAAATAAAATCAAGCATATTTTTCCTAAACAAAAATAAATTTAGAAGTTTATAATTCTATCCTTATTACAAAAGACTTATTGGATTATTGGCATGTAGTAGTGAGGTACACGCATTCGTCAATTTAAATAACTAAAATTTCATCGGCTTAAACTTCCAAATTAAAAACATAACGTACTATTTTAAAACTACCTACTACTCTACTTGAAAATAATTTTACCGTTTCAACCCTCTATTCCTCTGAAACTCTTCCAGCTCCTCTCTCGTAAAAACTATTTGCTTATTGCTTATGCTACTTCTCAGATTCCGTTCTAATTCCGACATTTGTCGTCCGTTATCAATGTTCAAATCTTCAACTTTTAAATCGTTCATTTTGCTTTGACGGTGTTGACGCTGGTGTCGGATGTGTCGCGGACTACTAGCGAAATGCCACGTGGCCAATCGTTCTACGCGTTCCCTTTCGGCCAATCGTTGATTTTCCTCGTGAATTTTGCGCAGGTTGCAAGCGTTGATGCGCGCGCTGTCGAAATGGGTGATGTCGGTGTTCTCGGGGAATTCTAGGTAACATATGTCTATGGTTGGTAGCAGTAGTACGTCACTGGAACAAGAAAAGAAAGTAGTGAGAAATTGAAGAATTCTAAACTGGATTGTTGTTAACATTAGGTCTGTTTTCACAAGACTCAAGAGTCTCTGATTGTCAGACACAATCGATCAGCTGAGTCCGATTTATCTTGAACTGTATTTGGAAACATGGGCAATGTTTTCTGACAGTTTGTAAACTGTCAGAGACTAATGTGAAAACAGACCTATTGTCTACTGCCCTATGAGGTGACTGATTCGAGTATTTTTCTCACGTCAAAGTTCACTCTATTGCTGGCTTTAGGAAAAAAATCTCTAGTTAAATTGGAAAATGTTCAACTCACATTTCAGTTGTTTTTACTTTCACTTTAACTAATGCCTAAGTAGATAAGCAGTGACAGTTGACCCGCAATTTCATCCATTTTCCCATGTAAATCTCCATAAGAAAATCTAAGGATATTATGATTTTGTACCAAAAAAGAGTGGGGGGTAAAATTAGATACGCTCTCTTGAAGAGGCCTAACCAGGGATGTTCCAAACTGCACAATTGTGCATATTGATGCACACTTTCAATTTATATGCACAGTATGCACCCCCATCTCTACATAATATGCACATTTTGATTTCAAGAATAAATCTGTCATAATTTTTCACTCAATAAATAGAACACAAAATATTCTGAATTAGGGGTGTCATTTCAGTAAATTTGTACTGAGTGTAAGTACACTGTACTGTATACAGTGTTGCCACTTCTGACGAAATAAAGACGGTAGATTCTTGGAGAAATAATCGGTAGTTTTTGTTTGAAAATCGGTAACTACGCGGTTGCTTCATATGATGACATCATTCCGCCACAATTTGCTTAGGTATATAAAACCAGTCAATAAATTTAATCATAATTTTATTGGGTAATGTGATTCCTATTGCAATTATTCGCGAGCATAATCGAACACTGATTATGGTCAGATGTTATGTGTCAATTGTGTCATACTCCCCTAACTCCCTCATCATCCAATTCCTGGCCTACGAGTGACGTCACTACCAGCAGCTTATAGTGATGACGTCACCTACAGACCGCGATGGAATGCAGATTCAGGCTGTGCTGAGTGAGTTAATTTTTCCGTCGATTTTAAATGTAAAAAAGGTGATTTTCGGTTTGTTCTCACAGAAGTTAAGTTTTCTTGATCCTCAAGTATCCCAGAATTTGATAATGGCAGAGTTGGGGAGCATGACACAATTGACACATAACATCTGAGCATAATCGAGTATGCTTGGTTTTTGGTTATCCTCGCGAAAAATTGCCTATTATCTGTAGCGACTTTCAATTTCAATAGCGTTTTCATAAGTGATCATCAGCGACGTGACACACGAGACACGATATCAGATATCATTAGTTTTTAGATTTTCTTGCGGAATGACAAACAATTTTGTTTTTTATTTTCAATATCACATATTTGTTGCATTACAAATTGCAGAAAAATCGTGAGAAAATGGTTTAAAATCGGGAGATCGGTAGACTCATTTGAAAATCGGTAGATCTACCGATAAATCGGTAGAGGTGGCAGCGCTGACTGTATACATACTCCCATATACTCTACACTCACTACATTCTATAATCTGTACGCCACCAAGGATGATACACACTACTACTACAGGATGGCTTATCCTCATAAGGCCCGTGTGGAACAAATCCCCACCTCTCCTCCCCAAGCCATATCACCAGTTGTGACGTAGGCAGTATGTTATTTCTCGCCTTGACGTAGGCTGTTTAACAGCTGACGACTTAATTATGACGTCGGAAATGGTGACAGGCCAATATGGCGGCGATTACCAAAAACGAGGCCGATAAGCAATCCTATAGGTGTATATAATCCTTGGTACGCTACTGCCCAGCCGGCCCCACTCTAGTCCAGCCAGCCTGCTCGACAATCGACAATGAAAATACAAAATATTGACAATCGGAACTGGCAACGTTGTAAGAATAAATATACATATAGGCAATCGGCAACATTGAAAAGCAAAACAAGGGGGATGAGGGGGGATGCACATTTTGTGTCAGATATGCCCACTTTCTATACTGTGATATGCACATTTACAAATTCCCTCGGAACATCCCTGCGGGCCTAACCCAAGCGGTAAAATTAGACACCTAACCCAAGTAGAAAGCCCCAATTTGAAGAGGCCTAACCCAAGTGACGTCAGCAAAGGGGTAAGTTATAGGGGTGTTTTGCATTATCCGTCAAACGTCACCTGTCATTATCGACAGCTCGCCAATTTTCAAAGGCTCTTCCAAAATTTTGTATTTAATAACTTGTTACCTCGTACAAGATGACAAGTACCCCGTGACTTGTTACCTCATACCCCATACAAAGTAGCTCGTACTGATGATGACGAAATTAATAATGGAAAACTATCTACCTTATAATTTATGAAGTCCTAATTTTTCGGCAAATCGCGCGTGCTGCTAAGCCCACGGGCCCATTTTTCGAAATCCTCCGCGCCATTTACACATGAACTCTCATAACCCAAAATTTGGTGCCTAGTGACTTGTTACCCCGTACAAGGTACCTACCTAGTACTAATGATGACATAACTGATAATGCAACGGTCGAAATTTGATGGCGCCATCTAAGATAAAGATTCAACACCAAACAGCAATTTTTGCTGCAATATGGTGACTGAGTATCTAATCGGCCGACCAAAATTCAGTTCGTGGGAAAACCCAGAATAGGAAAACCTATTATCCACTGATAAATATTTGGCTTGATTTTCTCTGCTTTTCCATCCATAGACGCGTTTCGACCTATCAGGTCTCATCAGCATATTGCCTACAGGCACGAAACTTGGTTTGGTTTTCTTTGCTTTTCCTAGCCATGCTGATGAGACCTGATAGGTCGAAACGCGTCTATGGATGGAAAAGCAGAGAAAATCAAGCCAAATATTTTCTTATAACTGATAATAGAAAGAAAGTAGCTATCATTGCTCGATAAACTGATATCCTTATTATTAAAATAATTAAAATAAGAATCGTGATATTTGCCTGCCTGGGACTTTATTCTCGAAACAGGAAAGCAATATTCTTATGAGAACGAAGGTTCTGTCTTTGTTGTCCTTATTCATATTTCCATAACACTGACAATGACAGAGCAATCGTTCTCATTAGAACGTTGTTCCTCGTCTTCGAGAATACAGTCCCTACCAGTTTGCTTTGTGCCCCATGCTGCGCTTGGCGATTTTTCAGGATTCTACTTGTTTGATTGGTAGTGAAGTTGAATCATGGTTTGAATTCAATCCTATGTACTGGGTGATTGTCTATATTTTGCACTCACACCAGCCAGGGGTGTGGGGGTAGGGGGCATTTGCTTCCCTCCCAAAACCCTTAAATTTTATGAATAATTCTTCAAAATTAAAATAAACGGTCCCAAAAATAACGTAAAGAAACCTAAAAAAGGGGCGTGACACCCAAAAATTCCACAAAGAATTACTTCCGATAACGGAACGGATTTATGTACTTTACATAAAATCGAATTCCATTACATGACACCTCGAAACCCTAATTCAAATAGTCCAATAGAAAGATTACATTCTACCCTGAGAGAAAGTTTAACAAGCTTTTGTATATTGTCGTATGGTTCTCCATTCATAGGTCGACCGAGTGTACACCACTGGTATTTTCCTGTTTCTGACTATTCCTTCAACCTTTCTATGTTAGTATGAATCATGCCATGTGCGGCATTCTACTTCCTGGCATTTTCATTCCTCACAGATTTACATGCGTTTCTAATATTCTTCAATCTGTTTTGAATTATTGAATCAACGTCCAATTCAAGAAAACTTCTCATTCAGCGCTTCGTAACCTTCTATACTTTTCTAGAAAATTCTCAGAATAATTTCGACCTGCTTGGGCTTCTGTTTGCCACATGTTGCATAGTTTTCACAACTTACTTATACATTGGCGCACTCCAACAAATAATTATTGAAGTACCTACCTATTTTCTAAATTTATTAAAATATGTTTACTCTTACCTATAAACGGTTGACGTTGAATTTCTTCCAAATAGGCTATGAATTCGGTCAAGTTCGTCTGCTTGTATTGTGGAAGTATCTCTGACGATGGTTGGAATTGGCTTGGGAGTGGCTGAAATTCAAAAATAATCATTTTAGAGTGAAATTTTTCTACTAAAATATTCAATTTTTTAGATTAACAACTGAAAATACAGACGACACAACACGAAACATGCAATTAAAAATTATTTCCAAACAATCTAAACTTGTTAGTGTACCTAATATCTTCATAGACCAGCTTTTTGTCTGAAAATCAGACTGATTTATTATGCATTTTGATCGATTGGTCTCTGGTAAATACATCCAAGTTATCATACGATATGATTAATGTTTGTTTAAACAAAAATTAGTCAGAGCCCATCAGATGAGGCTCTGGTTTAAACTCTTGCCGTAAAAAAACATTTTTATTTTTGCATGCAAATTAGTAATGTTAATAAGCACACTCACAAACGCCAACCGTGCATGAGGCTCCTTTGAAGTATTTGTCCGCCCTCAGAGCTTTGCCTTCTTGATCTTCGACCAAAATGCCGAGGCCTAAGTTTCTAGTACCAATTTTATTCCATGCTTTTGTGGCTGGTTTGACACTCAATTCGACCCAACGAGACGTTTCTGGAACCACTTTACTATCGGACAAACGACGTTTAACTGAAAACAAGCAATAATTATTAAGTGCTTCTAATAGAAACCAAAACACATTTTACCTCTACGTTTTTTCTGAAACTTTGTGTACCAGTAAACAGATACCCGCAACAATTTTTCTTCTTCTATACTGTCCGATGGTTTACAGTCGTCGACTGTTTCCATTTTAGCGCTGCTGTTTTGCGGAAGTCTGTAAAGACGTAACGTTGCTGTGGCAATATTGCTATTTCTATTGTCTGTGTAATCGAAATCGAAAAATAAGTTCATGATATCTTCTGAATCCTTCCATTGGTCTTGCTCTTGGTTTGGTGGAGGATCGCCTGAAAATTAGTTTGAAGTTATGTTTGGTGACGAAGTAGCTGCTGAAAGATTTGTGTCTGGCCTTAAGAATGCTTAATCTTTGAAGGTCCCAACCTTTAGACCGAAAAGTGGCATTCCCCTTAGAGTTAACACAATATGAGGACAAAATCAAAGCTGAGCAATATTACACTTTAAAATGTAACATTGTTATATATTTAGCAACTTTTAAAATGTACTGTATTTTATATTCTTGTTACCTTTATTATTTGTCAACCTTGACAGTTTGTCAATGTACTTCAAAGTCAAATTTGTCTTGAAATTGACGTGCTTGCCATATGGCGACAGCACAGATCCATTCACATTGAAATAAATTTGAAGTTCACTATAATATCAATATCAATATCAATATCAATATCAATATCAATATCAATATTTGAATTCCCTATACCCCAATTTTTTGGTGCCAAAATACCTGGAAAAAAATGGCTTCATTTTCCAACTCCATCTTACTACTCCACTTTACCTTTACCTGGTCTAAGATTCTAGAGGTTTTCTTTTACTTTAGTTAGACATCAATAATGAACGTCCTAGTGGTATTTGTATGGATATATCAAACCAAAATAAATCTTGTTGGAAATATAATTTAAAATCTGTTTTTTTTTTAAAGATAATTCCCCAAGTCGAAAATTTAGTAACTACGTTGGTAACACAAGCCTTTTCTACATGAAAAATTTGAAAGCATTGACAATTTTACATTGTATTGCCAACATAATGTCATTTTGACTTTTATCTTTAAAAAAAAACAGACTTTAGTTCTCTCTTAATTATTACCTTCCATTTCCTGATTTAGCTACCTTATTTGTTAAGTTTGAAATTTTCAGAAAAAACCGGAAATAAACTTGATAAATAATCAACACATTTATTGGATAATGGTGGCAGCACCGATATGAACCGGAAAGGGCTCAGTCTTCTGGAGTTCCTTCACACCACAGATTTAGAAATCCTGAACCAAGGCAGCGCACCGACCTTTGCGTATACAATTCAAGTAAATGGACATCAGTGTCTGACGCACCGTCTTCAGATTGTACCTTGATCAGTTCAGAAACCCCCTAATCACGAATTGGGACCAATATGTTGAGGTTGAGATCCTAAGGGCTAAGCTAGAAGATTTTTCCACATCATGCCGCAGCGTAAGGCAAGTGGAGAAAACAACCAAATTGATACGCAAAGCAATGGGAATTATAAAATCAATAGGATAATCAAAGAAGAGAATAGAGATCTAGAATACGACGTGGAAAGCCAATACCAAATCTCAATAACTAGCTAAATAAAGATATATCAAATATCGAAAAATTTGAGATGGAAATGGAAATGGCAATTTAACGATCTCAGAAACAACAACTTACCTACTAGGAGAATAAATGCTGAAGAAAGTACCTGTATAGAAGAGGCTGTCCTACCAATACTGGAAAGACTATTATTCAACCTAAGATCGTGCAGAAATATCAGAAAAATTGTTGTTTAAAAAAAAAGGCGATATAAAACTGGTATTATTTACTTACAAGAAGGATAAAAGCTTCTAATTTTTTCAGTAATCAAATCATCGTCCAACGTGGTCGAATTAAAAAGTTGCGGTATAATTTGGGTGATATTGAAATCGGTCATTGTTGGATCCTCTGGCGGTTTGGTGAAGGTGTTGGAACTGTTGACTCTCAGTTGACCCAAAATGTGCGATTTCAAATATTCCTTCCAATTTTCCTTTCGTAATCTGTAAAAGATGATTTGATATTAATTTTCACGTATAACCTAATCTTTTTAAAAATCCTAATCCTAAAATTTTCAATTTAGAAAAAAATTATAATGATGAATGTGGTTATACTAAGGCAAGTCCCAGTCAAGCTCGGTTATATGCACCAGACCTAGACATTAGTGATAGAAGAATGATTAGAATAAGAAAGTAATAGTCCGTCGACTGGACCGTTGGACAAGCCTAGGTTGGGCCCCTTATAAGGCCGCGACCGGTCTACGTGTTTGCCAGTCTACTAGTTGTAAAAATACGGACGGTCTGTCTGTAAAAATGCCGTAAATTATTGTCTAATGCAACTAAATCAGGACTGTAATGTGGCCGGCTAATAGAATAACCGGTGCTCGAACCCGCGGTTATTGATAATGCGGTTTGGCTTTGGTGAGATAAGAATTTATATGTGTTTTACTTGGGCAGGACTTATAGTTTTTTCACCTTTTCAAGATATCCTAAAGTTTATTCTATTATGGACCAAATTCGAGAGTTGTATCTTTTGGACGCACTTGATGAGATTGCAGGTTTTCATTTAGTATTCGTCATATTCATGTCTGATTATAATGCCGTTTTTGAAAATATGTATGGTGCAAAACATTTAATTTTATTAAACGTATATCATACTCTGATAAATTACAAATACCTAGATAAATTCAATCAAGAAGGTGGATGTTTTATTAAAAAATCATGTGCAGCGCCATACACGTGGTACTTTTTAAAAACTATCCCCCACTCATGCAACTTACTTTAGCGTATGAGTCGGGGTGAAAGCGAAGGGAGACGCGCATCTGTAGTGACGTCATAAAGGGTATCGGCGCTTGACAATAATAGTTTATAATCCTTGTTTTGTGTCAATCGTTCTGAGCCGCTTTCAGGTGCTCCTAGAACATTTCACACCAGTCAGTGACCTGTCATATTCCATGCGTTTTGCCCTCGAACGCTAGAAATCGAACGGTTCAAACTGTAGCTGGAGTATTTCGGAGTAACTCGGGAGCGCTGAAAGGGTGGCACCCGAAAGCAGCTCTTGTAATGAAACTCCTGGGAAACATATTATCAAAGGAGGAGGATGACATAATGTGAAGATGAGCAAAATATTTTAGATAAATGTCATTTGTAGAAAATAGAAGAAGATCCAGACACCTTGGTCTCAGTTCCTTAAAGATTCACCATAGACCACGGTCAAACTCGGAGTCTAGTTATTCAACAACAGGTTGAAGCTTCCCTCATTAATAAAAATAATTTACTTGGAGAAAAAATTCGGAGCTCGCTGGAAAAAGGCATAGAAGTACCTACCTACCTAAACTACATAAACAACATCAAGGATAGATAAAGCGAAGATTGAGGAAACATTGAGTTCAAAGAATCGAAATAGAATATACAGAAATATGATCAGAGACAACTTGGGAAACATATTATCAAAGAAGGAGGATGACATAATGTGAAGATGAGCAAAATATTTTAGATAAATGTCATTTGTAGAAAATGGAAGAAGATCCAGACATCCTAGTCTCAGTTTCTTAAAGATTCACCATAGAACACGGTCAAATTCGGAGTCAAGTTGTTCAACAACAGGTTGCAGCTTCCCTCATCAATAAAAATAATTTACTTGGAGAAAAAATTCGGAGGTTGCTGGAAAAAGGCGTAGAAGTACCTACCTAGATGACATAAAAAGCATCAAGGATATGTTGTGTATGGGGTGTAGAGGATTAAATGATACAGCACTAAAGGCAAATACTCTATTGGAACACAGAACTATGGGCTTTATATGTAAAGCAACATCTTTAATGTGGTCAACACCACGTCAGACTAAACACCATAGTGGCTATAATTGCTAGCTAAAGGCAACTCTAGAATGACATGTTGTTACCAGTTGTACTCAAATCTTAAATACATTACACGCCCTTCCTTAAGGAAAAGACAAATATAAAATACCAAATATCAATAACTAATCTACAAACTAATTTATAAATAAACTACTATAAACTAAAGATTCATTCTTTTAGTGGGCTTAACAATTCTACCACTTTTAGTAACACAAGGAGCTCCGACAGGAGTCTCTAGAGAACTTTTCATAAATGACTTATCATTTATAAAATATTCTTCATTTTGTGAAGGTACGTCAGTATGACGATCAATATCATCACGATCGTTATCACTTATATATAGGAGCACTAACACGAGTGGTATTATTAGTCTTTACATCATTCTTTACATCTTTTTGGACTAGAGGTACAAACAAAGGTACCTTAGTTGGCACATTAGACGGAGATAAGTAGGGTTTAAGATAATGTCTGTTTCTGCGATAATCAGTATTGTTTATTCGAACAATATAATCATTAAAATCTAATTTCTCAACAATTACACCTAATTTCCATTCCCGCACTTTATTTTGTAACAACACTTTTTGACCAGGATGAAGATCTGCCAGTTCTTTTGCAGTTTGATCATAATAACGTTTTTGTTTATCTTGAGCGACTTTTAATTTTTTATTGATGCCTTCGATATTGAGGTTGCAAGATTTCAGTTGGCACAGGAAGTATTGTTCTCAATTGCCTACCCATTAAAAGTACACTGGGTGCAGGAAGATTTTGCTTAGGAGTCGTATTATAACTTAAAACCGATAAAAATGGATCTTGATTGTTTTGTATGGCTTTGACGAACAAGCCTTTAATGGTTTGAATAGTTCTTTCAATCATACTATTACTTTTGGGATGATTGGGGTTAGATGTGGACAAGTCAATGTTATATTTTTTTGATGCAAACTGTCGAAATTCATGAGGATTGAATGGTGGACCATTATCTGAAAAAATTTCCTGAGCAATGCCATTATTTGTAAAAATATTCTTCAGACAAGAAATAACAGAATCTGTGGTTTTGGTTGTTAATTTATTGACAATCACAAACTTGCTAAAATAGTCTACAATAACTATGAAATTGTTAGGTTTCACAAACATAAAATCCACTCAAATTTTTTGCCAAGGAAGCATTGGTGGTTCATGAGAAGTCAAAGGCTCATTTTGGTTACTTTTGGCATACATTTGGCAAGTTGGACAAGTTAAAATCATTTTTTCAATGTCAGTCATTAATCCAGGGTAAAAAATGGATTCTTGGGCTTTTCTCTTGCAGGATATAATACCTTGATGAGTAAGGTTTAAAAATTCAGATTTGAGACATTCTGGGATAATAAGCCTTTTTTTGTAGAACAAGACATCTTTGTGACGATAAATATCACTTTTGAAATTCCAGAACGGTTTGATCGTAGGTAAAAGGTTATTTTTATGTTGTGGCCAGCCGTTTAGAGTGTAATTTTACCCTCTGTAAAATTGGGTCATTCGAAATAGCAGCCTGTAATCTTTTTTCATTTTCTTTGGATGTTGAAATAACCGAATATACATGCAGATTTGATTCTAAATAGTTAGTATTGATATAATTGCTAGAAGGCTATCGACTTAAAGTGTCTGGAATTAATAATTGTTTTCCTAGAACATAAACGAGATTAAATTGATATCTGAGCAACCTTATTGTTAGTCTTTGAATTCTAGGTGACATATCATCTAAAGATTTTTTTAATAATCCTATTAAAGGTTTATGATCTGAGTGAAGTTCAAAATTTTGCCCATAAAGATAGTAGTGGAAACGCTCACATCCATAAACTAAGGCCAAAAGCTCTTTCTCAATGTGATTATACTTTTGTTGAGTGGGGGTTAGGGACACAGATGCAAATTCTATAGGTTTATTATCTTGAACCAAAACGGCGCCAAGTCCATAAGGACTAGCATCCACAGCTAAAACAGTTTTCTTTTTAGGATCAAAATATGATAAAGTTGTAGCTCAGGAAACTAATTGTTTTAGATGAACAAAACAGGCTTCTTCAGTTGCGGTCCACGTCCAAACAAATTTGTCATTCAATAATTTTCTCAATATTGTGCTTTCTTGAGACAAATTTGGAATAAATTTTGATAAATACACAATCATGCCAAGAAATCTTTGAAGACTTTTTTTTTCTGTAGGAGAAGACATATTAACAATTGCCTCAGTCTTGACTGGATCCGGAGACACCCCTTCTGCATTGAGTATGTGCCCCAAAAATTTAATTTCATTTTTACAAAACTTTGATTTGCCCAAATTAAGCGTTAGACCCGTCGCTCTTATCTTAGATAACACTATGTCAAGGTTTTTATTGTGTTCAGAAATATCCCTACCATACACAAGAATATCATCAAAATAAGAAACTACACCCTCAACACCATCCAGTGTTTGTTGTATGAATCTCTCAAATATTTCAGGAGTTGACTTTAGTCCATAAGGAAGACGAAGATACCTGTATCTTCCATATGGAGTTATTATAGTACAGAGAAGAGAACTTTCATTATCTAATGGTATTTGTAAAAATGCTGAAGATGCATCCAACAATAAAAAATACTTGGCACCAGCCAGTTTTAAATATAAATATTCAGTAGTAGGAATTTGACACAATTGCCTTTTTACATATTTATTTAGGTTTCTTGGATCCATGCATAAGCGAATCGATCTATTAGGCTTGGGCACAATTACAATTATTGGGCTAACCCAATCAGTTGGTTCTTCAACAGGCAAAAGAATATTTTCAGAAACTAACTTGCTGAGCTCAGCTTTAACTTTATCGCGTAAAGCAATTGGAATCTTCCTGCAAGCACTGACACATGGTACTGCATTGTTTTGCAATATAATTTTACGATTTTTATTAATTTTCCCAATTCCATCAAAAACACTCTTATGAAAATCTACAATACTTTTCAAATCTAGGATGTCTTTATTATTGATATTTGATTTCTGTATTACCGAGTATATTTCTTTATTTATCATTTTAAAAGCTTTCACACCTGGGAGACCCAAAATTGATTTAGGTGTTTCATTACTTAGAACATAGAAACTCAAATTTTTATTGAAGCAACAATTGACACAAATTTGTCCTAAAACATTAATATTAT